CTGCCCGGTACCCCCCCTGCTCTCCCAGCCCTGGGCTCCCCCCAGCTCTGCTGGTGCCCCTCACTCCTGACCTGTATCCCCTGTGCTCTCCCAGCCCTGGGCTCCCCCCAGCTCTGCTGGTGCCCCTCACTCCTGACCTGTATCCCCTGTGCTCTCCCAGCCCTGGGCTCCCCCCAGCTCTGCTGGTGCCCCTCACTCCTGACCTGTACCCCCCCTGCTCTCCCAGCCCTGGGCTCCCCTGCGCCAGCTCGGCCCCGTGCGGCCAGTGCCATCTGTAGCTCGCAGTGGGTCGGGCTGGATCTGGCTGAAGTGCTGGTGATGCTGGAAGCCTCGGGTCTCCTAGCTCATAAACGCCATGGGGCTACCACTGCTGCCCCTGCCAACCCAGCGCAGCCACCGGCCCCCGGCTGGAAGTGGGGGACCCGGGTGACATCGCTCCCTGGTCCTGGTCAGAACTCAGCTGCTGCCATTTCTGGCCTTGCAGTGACCCCTGCCGGCCACGGGGGGTCGCCGTTCCCCAGCTTTTGCGGCCCCATTGCTTTTACTTCACAGCCCCCATGCTCCCACCTGCCTGGGCCAGCAGGGGGCAGCAGAGGGGCGGCAGCTCCGCGGCGTGTGTGTGGGGGGGTCTAAACACGCGACACTGAAGGGAGGGGGAGAGACCAGGACGGGTGGAGACAGTCCCCTTGCAGCACAGCGCCCCCCCTACTGAGCCCGCCCCTCCCTCGCTCCCTGCAGCATGGCACCCCCTTACTGAGCACCCCCCCCCAGCCTAGCACCCCATAGCGCTGTGTTGGGACATTGGGGGCCAGCACGAATTGCAAGGAGACAGCACCCCCTGCTGAGCCCTTCCCCCCGGATTTCCGGGGAGTCTCTCACCCATGTACTGAGCAGGCCCCCCCCCTGCCTGGCCTGTGAGTGGTGCCAGAGCTTAGTCCAGGGGGGCAGGAGGGTGCAGCCTCCCCTGCCCCCCCGCCCCCTCCCACTGGCTCCATTCCAGGCCCTGGGGCTGCAGCCTGGAGGGTGGGTTCATGTATCTCTCCAGGCTGAGCAGTTGCAACATGCACAGACCAATGCCTCCATGCCCCCCCCCACCATCCACAGCCCTCCTCCCCAGTCCTGTTCACAGCCCCCCCATGGCCAGGTACATGCCCCACTCACACACAGGAGCAGCCTGCTACACACATGGTCACGCCTGCCCCCTTCCACACACACACGCTGGTGCACGTCTGACCCATGCTCAGTGTCCCAGTGGCTGGGCCAGGGAAGAGTTTCATGAGACAGCTGTTGCCGTACTGGTGCCCCTCCGAGGGTTTCACTTCTGAATCCAGAGGCTGCGGGGTCAGTCCCCCGGGGTGTCACGGTGCATGATGCGTCTCAGTCCTGACCACTGGCCCAGCCCTGGGCTCCCCTCCCAGCCCTGTCGACGCCCCTCAGTCCTGCCCCACAGCCCCCCCACTGGCCCAGCCCTGGGCTCCCCTCCCAGCCCTGTCGACGCCCCTCAGTCCTGCCCCACAGCCCCCCCACTGGCCCAGCCCTGGGCTCCCCTCCCAGCCCTGTCGACGCCCCTCAGTCCT